TTCATGTAAAAGGTAGTTTTTTTTTTTGGGAGGGGGGGGGTACCATATATATATATATTGCCAGTTTCTACTACGCCCCAGTAAGCTAAGCTCTCAACTCTCCAACCTAACCTTCCAACCTCCCCCCACACCTATACCCTGAACCCTAACTCTTGCCTAAAGCCCACACCCCAATATCCATCCTTCTGGTAGGTTTTTTGCATCCCTATGTAAGCTTTCGTAGGGCATCTTAAAATGCTTATATGTCTCCAGGGGCTTTTGGGGGGTTCTTGTTCTGAGAACACACCCCATCCTTCAGCCCAGGGGTCCAGCCTTCAGTGCCTTGGCCAAGGAGACCTTTAATTGCTTCTCGTCGTAGCTGGGCATTCGCAAAGCCACGGCCTAACTCGCGGGAGGGGTTGATTTACACTTTTCAGTCTGTGTGAAGAGGTCCGGGGATTGGGTAAAAAGGGAGTGTAGAGTGGAGGGTCAAGGGTTGAGCATTTAGGTTATCTTTGGAGCCGAAGGTTTGCAGCCAAGGGGAACCCTGAGGGGGCTTGGCTTAGAATGTAAAGTATGCAGCCATACATGGAAGCATGGGGTGTGCAGAAGGTGTAGAACTCCCTTGGGAAGCCCTCGAAGGTAATGTGGCATTGTGTTGAGATTCCGTTGAGCATTCTCGTCTGTGGCTTACAGTGCTATGACCCTGTGATTCCATGAGCAACCAAAACCTGTTGCTCAACATTGAAGATGTATGAGTGGTGAGCCCTCAATCGAAGCTTGCAGCTGGTTAGGCCTAACCACCTACAAGAAGAAAATGGCTAATCCTACTCTGTGGTGGCTCCGGGCTCTATGAAGCCCAGCTTGCAGGAGCACCTGGGAGTCTCAAGTAGGGATACCCTCAGGAACCTGAAAAAATCTTAAGAAGATGTTGGTAGCGCACCGGGGCTCCAAGGCCCATTGAGGATATTTTGAGAACTTCCCACATCCAGCCTAAAAACGTGGCCTCTCCTGAGGATGCCACCGGATAAGTGGCGAAGATCAAGGGGGCATAGCCGAACATGGCCTCTCCGGGTTAGGGTTTGAGTGGTCTAAGGGTGTAGGGAACTGGGGGGTGGTGAGTCTGGGTTCAATTAATAATTGGCTCAGGGTTGAAACCTCTAGAGATGCAGGGGGTTGAGGGTGCTCATGCTGAGTTGGAAATGGGGGAATAGGTCACACTAAGGAGGGTTTATCTAGTACTCTATGGATCCTTTCCCCCGAGGCACTGCTGTGTCGGCTTCCATGAACGTCACTTCCTGCAATGCTGCTGCTTTTCCGGCCCTACTGCTCCTGTGACTGCAGCTGCTCCTGCCAAAACAAAGACGACTACTACCACTCATGCTGCTACTGATTGCTGCTCAGAACTAAGACTGCCACCTACATGCTACGAAGTCTTCCCCTTCTTCTACTCCCCCTACTCCTTCTGCTGCAGCAGCGCCGACGCCTATCGTCATCAGTACCACTAACACCACCACTCCTAAGCTTACTTATATCGAGGTAAGTAAATGAAAAAGCTTATGGCAACTACCATATCGTTGAGGGTTTAGGGCGAATCTTAATCACCTTTTTGAAGCACTGGCATAGCATTCCAAACTTCTCTTGCACACACTTTGCAAGAAGGCTGTAGCAAAACTGTTTCTTAGTGGATTTTGGGCGAAAATCCCACCAATGTTGGACGCCTTGAACCCGTGTAGAGATGTCAGCTGAACAACCGCTTCCGCTTTGTCACATGAGGAATGCCCTTGGGTTGTGGCCTCAAAATAGTACATGTCCATCTCCTTGGGAACTCCATTGTTGGTGGCACCTGCGCCCATCGCTGCGAATTCACAATCTCTGCGATTTAAGAGCTTCAGATCCCTAGGCTAGAACTGCAGTGAAGTCTGTAGTGTGAGCGGCATGTCCATGCCCTGCGGTTCTCGACTCTTGAAAATGCTCAACCCTCGCTTCTCCTGCAACTACGCAATTATAAGCATTCCTCTGGCTCCGTTTGACGTGTCCTGGGCTTGCAGCAATGCAGAGCATGCCAAGAAGGTTCAACTGATCAATACCGGCAGGGATCAGAAAAATACGCGACCGAAGGCCTCCTGTCCAGATTGTCCAGAAGCCAAAAATGACAAAGCCGAAGTGGACATGCTACGCTGCAGCCCCACAAGCGAACGAACTCTGTGAGCTGGGGCACCTAAAAACTATATACCTCTCAAGGTACGACTTGACAGAGTTAGATGTTGCTCTTCCCATACTCCCTTGCCTCCCCATTGTTAGCAATCACGAGCCCCAAAACACGAGCCCCCCTGAACCCATTCAACTGAACCTCTGAGCCCCCCCATGCATGCACTCATACCATGATAAAAGAACTCCTATATTCCCCCAGTTTCCACTTCATTTTCCATTTTCTTTTCCATTTGATTCTCCATTATAGGGGGATAATATCCCTAAACCCTTAACCCTAAACCCTATAGTAACTTAGTTTAAATTCCTTAACAGCAACCCAAGACAGCAGCCCAAGGACTCAACCTTCCGGTCGGATCACTTCGACCCGCTCCGAAGGCTTCGTGGGCAGAAGGATGCCTTTCAGCTTGGCATAACGGGTACCCCCCAACAGTTGTCCTTACTTAGCTTTGCTTATTAATCCCTGTCAGCGCAATGTGTCCCCATATATCCTCGTGATTTTGGGAAACCTTGAACCCTAATGCACCTATATAACCCTTATATAACCCTTTGAAAGTACCCGTAAATATGTACATACATATATATATATGTCCCCTAGATGATAGATCCAGGCATTTGTCTAACACCCAAAGTCAATCTCCAGTATCCCTACGGCATCCAAAAGCCGCATCCGTCAGCCCTCATAAACAGCAGCCGAAGGCTAAAAGTTTTGAGTGGGTGGCGTTGGCATATAAGCCAACCCGGACTCCCAAAACAACTGTGATTCCTAAACCAAAAAGTCCGAACCTCAACTCTCAAACACCCAAAGCCCCTCCGACCCCACCGCTGCCCCGCAACGCGCACTCCCAATGGCAACCCCGCAGGCACGCTTGCTACCCCCACGAAAATTCTTCATGGTTCTTGTCATGCTTAGCTTCCAGTAGACTGGCCTTGTCACCGCCTTAATTACTATCATTACTCTTATGACTCTAATTACCATTATTACTATTATTACTTGTATTTCTATTATTGCTGTTATTGTTATTATAGGTCCCAAACCCTCAGGCTGTTGTGCTACATGCTGGCCTTCACAGCAGCTCATGCTGGCCACCTCAGACAGCAAAGTGCGCAGATATGTTTAAGGGGTTTGCTCGCAGTGAGGCAAACATGGTCGGCATCTTGCCTATGAACCAGACTAGCATCACCCTAAGGACCAAGACTCCAAGATGTCCATACCCCATAATGTGGGAAAAATCTTAGATAACGAGTCTGGGGTTCTGGGGAACAGGGTTCAGTTCAGTGATAACTGATTGAAATCATAGTTTTCCTTGACATCATTACAATACAGCCCCAGTATCTCAGGCTCAGAAGGTAATGTTGATTTGCCAGCTCGCCTTACAAGCAGCATTAGACATGCAGCCAAGGGAACAGTAGCTTAGCATGCACAGCTCATACGTAGACCTGCATCTCAGCCTCAATAGTCAACAATATCAAAAATGAAGTAAGTAGGAAATAGTAAGACTGCACACGATTTACCACTAGGTTCTTTGAGGGGTCCTCATCGCAAGTGCGGTGTGAGTGTGAGGACCCCTGGTGGAGCCCTGAAATCCTCCTGCCCACATGATCTTGAACTCTGGAGCTAACCAGGCTTTCAGCAGATATCACTCAGAATTCGTCGCTTCTTGCCCGCTGCCCATTCTCCTTCGGACTTTTTCGGTAGACGGCTTGGGGCAGCTTTAGGGGATCCCTTCCAAGGTCTTTCTCAGAGGCTCCACATTTTTCGCAGCTGAGGCGCCGGCGATGATGCGCGACAAAGGCGGCGGGAGCCCAGAGCTAAACCGGTGTATGGGTTTCAGCTGTTCGTGGGGGGGTTCCTAGGTTCCAGGTTCCGGGCTAACTAGGCAGTAGGCTTGAGCTTGCTTTAAATCTATTACCTGGGTGATGCATGACAGCTCTGTGCAGATAAGTTGTCAGTCTCGACGCTGCAAATTTGGCAAAAGAGGTGGACACATGTAAAAGTGGGTTCGTCCGTCATGAACTGCACTGCGCTTGAAACAGCAGGTTGCCAGGTGTGTATGCAGCTCTCATCTAAGGTTACAGCTGGGCTTAGGCACTTAGGGTTTTTGGGCGCAGAGTTCAGGGATCTTTGCCATGGATTCAGGCCCGCAGCTTTCAGTCCGCCTCATGCCATGTTCACCATGGCTACTCTTCTAGGAGGAATCTGGAACCACTTGCCCACCAACCAGGTTGCTCCACAAATATAACCCTATAATAATATCTCAGTTTCCATGTTATTTTCCATTATCCCCTACATAACCCCTATAAAACCCTATATAACAAGAGTGCAGACTTTGGTGTCATGGGCAGGTCATGTCATGATATGTCATCCCGCCAGGCTTTACGGCCTGTAAGAAAGCGGCTATATTGGGGTTCTATTAGGGGTTACATTAGGGTTATATTGGGGTAATATTAGGCTTGTATTGGGGTTACATAGGGATAGTGGAAACTACTACATCAGGTCTTATTGGCGCAACAGCAAAGTGTCAGCTGTAACCTACATCAACTGCAGAAACTCGCCCTGCACTTTCGGAGTGTGCGATCGGAGGGTCTGGCAAGCAGGGTGAAGACTAATGATGCACCCGCCGGCTGCTAATGAGTCCTTCTCCTGGGTACAAGGAAAGGTACCAGGAAATTCCGAAGCCCATTCACACCCTCACATGAGCAGGGGCTCCTTTCTTCGCACGAGTGCATTGCAATGGCACCGCACACATGCTGGTCTTGGTGAGCACCGAGGAAAATGGTGCAGACTGTAAGACCCCCTGCCAAGTTTGACCCTTCTGGATTCCTACCAATTCAGAGAACTGCCATCATAGTAGCCAAACTACTTTAGAAACAGCTGGACAGTGTGCTTGGGCGGGCGGCTGACCCAGGCAGAACTGCTCCCGAAAAACATCCTGAACTATCCGCATTACTTGGAGAGTGGCATTCAGATGCTAGAATGCTGGACTTTTTTCGACTGGTATCACCAAGACAGCATGGGCAAGCGGTCACACATCCACGGCACCATGGTGAAACTGTGAAACTTGAAAGCCCAGCCCATTGGACCTGCGGAGGATTCTCAACCTCGATGGTTCCAACATACGAACTATAGTCTGAACTCCTTGAAGAGGGTTATATAAGGGGTTATGTAGGGGACACCTATAGGGGTTATTATTAAGGGGGATACGGGGGTACTATGAGTTTACACTTTGGCCCATACGAACTGAGAACATCTCTATACGAGCTGATGCAATCTGAATCTCTCCATCTACCGAACTCGAAGCCAAAAGTATGCGAAAAGCATGCCAAAAGCCACAAGTTCAAAGCTGAAAAGACTACTACTTTCACTCATCCACTCAGTTCGGTAGTCATGGCACTTTATCAATAATCCCTCTTGCTTAATTGATTCTAGAGCAATGACAAATGCGGTTTTCCTGCAGTGGACTGGCGCCATCCTTCGTTGGCATTTTTGGCGGTTGAGGCCCCGTCAGTTCTCGGCGCATCAGCGCAGCACTTCACGGGTCTGTGGCCTGCGATGCGCTGGAGGCATCTAGTCCACAGATGCGGCTCTGCAGTGGGATTCTGGCATGATGCCCAGCCGTGGAGCCCAAGTCACCAGCTGATGGAATATCATACAGGGCTCAAGGTCGCCGTTACCTTAATTCATCATGGACGTGTACCGTGATGCGCACGGCTGCTGGAAGATACCTGGTGCCCTAAGACGTGTTGAAGCGAATCCTTCACGAGCCACCTACAGCCCTAAGCCAACCTCAAGTCCACAGGAACCATCAGCAAAGTTCCTGCTACTTCATCAAGCGCTGCACTGCGAACAGGCCTGGCGATGCCACTAGCCCCTTGGCTTCGCAATGGCTTTCTTTGTCTACAGTAGGTTCCACTTCATTTTCCGTGTCCTTTCCTTTTGTTCTCCATTATGGGGGTCCGCAAGCTCTGCTAATTTTATGCGCCAATAGATGTTCAATCCATAAGGTTTATGGTTTCACGATTTGTAGCGCTAGCATGGCTTTGCCATCCCCACGCAGTAGAAACATGCCATGGTTGAGACGACTTTGGGTCATGTGAGGCCTTGACGGTAAAAGCATATGCGGATTGCATTGGGATTATATGAGCTATAGTCTAAACTCCTAGTATCCCACTTAATAACCCCTGTAGTAGTCCTCTATATAATCCCCCAGATAACCCCCTTTAAGGAGTTAGACTATAGCTCATATTGAATTATTGGTGATTGGGATCATGGAACACAACATGGAAACTACCATTTGGAGTTTAGGTTCGAAAGCTGCTGTTTGCATGTCATCCACCTTCGCTACTATCATTGCAATACAATGTTCTGTCAAGTGCAGCGACATATGCACCATAGTCTAAACTCCTGCTATCCAAACGCCTATTCTACAATACAATCCCCTTTAAGGAGTTTATACCCTAAACCCCATAGAACCCCCTTCATGTACTTCTTTATATCCCCCTTAAGGAGTGTAGACTATATAACTCATATAGTAGTCTGCAGGTGAGCGGCCAAGGAGTCGCCGTGCACGTGTGGCTGGGACCTGGGTGAGGACACTACTGCTTTACTATACTTTCAAGTAGGGGACTGCTTCAGGGGCCTAAATAATTTCCAAAACCAAGATTTAGGGTTTGTGGTGTAAATACGCACCAGTATAATTTTAAGGTCTAGTCAAAGTACCCGATACCATACTATACTTCCACATACTGTTCAGCATAGGACTATGTGTAGGGCAAATGTCATTCCTGGAAAGATGGTCTGTTGCACTTCAGGGGCTGCGGAACATGGTAGTTGCCCAAAATAGGACCCAAATGTCGACCCCGGAGTACTATAATCCTTATTATGGGGAGCTCCAAAAAGGTACCCCAGATTTTGTAAACTCTCCTGGGAATCTGCCCACGTGTTAGTTTCAGCTTGCCAGGTCGTCGGGCCAGGAGTCCATTTCAAGCATTCTGGCTCCAACGCCAATGTCACCCCAGTTCTGGAAATGTGCAATGGAAATGACTGCGCGTACTGTTGTCAAATTAGAAGCCTGCTACAGTTGCCCATCTGAGATCCAGGCAGTTTGGAGAGAGCCGTCCAGGAAGGAAACCTTTTGTGGCAAGAAGGCTTCGGGCGCTACTCCATTTTGACATGTGAGATTCATATAATGCATGACGAAGATGTCAATTAAGGGGTTGCGGAGGAGTTCAGTGTGTGGTCGCAAGGGCCTACGATCAGGCCCGTGTCCGACCCATGCTGCAGGTCATCGCCTATGAAACTTCACAATACCCTCACATTTCCCTAAACAACCCACACGTACGGCCACGATTCCACATTACATACATCGTCTGGAGAGGACCTCTCGCAAGGAGCCTCGACAAAGTGCGGCTTGTTTTATAGCTCACATGACATGCTTTTGCAGTCATTTCCATGTGAGCTACTGTCTAAACGCCTAGTATCCCCCTTAATAACCCCTATAGTAGTCCCCTATATAATCCCCTTCAAGGAGTTTAGATTATGGCTCATGTCTTGAAAGCCAGGAACCTGGACACAGTTCGCAGCAGGGTCGTACCGAACCAGTCTGCCAGATTGGCAGGACCTCAGAGGAATGTCTGCCAAAGTTTAGGGCTCAAGGCTTAGAACTTGCAATCCTACAAACTTCCTAAGACTTGGCAGGATTAGCGGCTTTGGGTTGGGCTATAGTACTGAAGCAAACCTCAGGTCATGGGCCAGTGAGTCGTCAGCTACGACTGGCGCAGAAGTGCTTGGTCGGTCTTGTTTTCTCATGCCAGGCCGGTCTCTCATGTGTAGCATGTTTCACGTCATGCCTCTACAAAGCTAAGGTTGGTACTTCGGACCGAAATATGACTCAGGCTGCTGAACTTGAAAGGGAGACTTTCACTGGTGCAAGAGCCGCGGAATCACAGGTTTCCAAGCGGCTCTATGAATCATGTACAACTAAAGCAGACATGGTACACTAATGGGGCCTGTAAGCTTGAATGAACCCCTTCATCCCTACAGCCTTTGCTCAGTGCCACACCAGCGCGGAACCCGCGCGTTGGGACCCG